TTGCAACTTTTGTCGCTTGTTGTTTGTTGTTTGTTGTTGTTGTTTGCTTCATTAGTGCTGACAGCAGGCCAGAAGGTGTTCCCAGCATCATCTAGCCTAGGCTGGCCTCACTCTCTCTCTTTCCCTCTCTCTCTTTCTGATCAAAGGGAAAAAATATAACCAGCCATGCTTTGCCAACGAACTGTCAAAGGCAGTTCCAGCTACAAAAAGAACTGCAAAAAGGGGACATAAAACAATCAACAGAAGGGTGTTGGGGGTGGGGTAGGGGTTGCCCTATAGAGAGTCTATGCTACATGGCTGTTGCTGACAACGAAAGTCTGCTTTGCGAATGTTTGATTAAGCGAACTACAGCGAGCAAAATATGGGAAAAGCATTTAGGCTTAAATTATATGATGATTTGTTGAATATATATATTAAATATAATATTTAATACCAATATTGGCTAAAGTTAAATATGTTTTTTGTTTCATTTATCATATTTAGAGGTAGCAACTAATAGGTGTAAACGATTCTGCTAAGTATTTTTAGCTATTTCACTCAATTTATTAAATAATTAGTTACTAAAAATAAAAGCTTAAATAATTATACTAGTTTATAGTTATGCTCTGCTTATATTGAGTTTAAACTTAAAATGCAAATACTTTAGCATGCAAGAGCATAAAGGAATAGTTAATTTAAATAAAAATATATATAATTATGCATGAAAAAGAAGAGTTACTTTAAATTTAAATATACAAATTTATATATTTCCAAGCAAGTTTTCTAAAATTATATATATAAGATTTTCTTTCAGTTGAGTCGACTCCGAAAAATCAAGCTATCAATATTTTTTAAAACTTCTCATTTTAATTATTAAGTAAATTTTCTTATTGTTGCTTAACTACTTTACTACAATTGCTGCAAATGAAATTAAATTTCAACTAAATTGAATCGTATAAATTGCTCATGAAGTGGCTCGACGTTAATTGCGGTAGCTAACAATTTAAACTTGAAGTCTCGAATGGGCATCGCAATGCAGCGCAAATGCTGCAAATGGCTAGCCAGCAGGGCCTGTTCTTAGCGGCTGGAAGCGGGACTGGAAGTGAGACTGGAAATGGGACTTGCTCTGGCCTTTGCTATCAGCTTTAACTGTAAGACGCAAAGCAAAGCAAAGCAAAGCAGCTGGCTTGGCTTTCAAACGTTTAGCAGCAGGCAGACAAATACGTTGATTGTTTTCTGCTGTAGCCGGCACGTAAATGATACTGACAGCTTGTGGTGTGGTGCGAGGGGGGTAGGTAACAGGCACATGCCAGTTGAATCACTTGATGTGGCATCGCGCCTGTCCAGCTGCCAGCAGCAGGCAAGCGGCCAAGCAGCCGCAGCAGCAGCAGCAGCAGGCTGCTTCTCAGCTAAAGCAACAGTTGAGACAAAACTTAATTTCTACATTTGCTGACACGACAACAACAAAAGCAACAAACCTCAACAACAACAACAGCAACAACAAAAGGCTGCTGTCAGATCATATTTACGGCAGCGGTTGAGTGGGTAAACTGGTAACAGTAGCTCGCGCCACTGGGAATACAGCTCATCTTCAAAGAGACGAGTCGCAGCTAGGGGAAGGGAGTGGTCAAAGGGAGGTGGAGCGGAGCCTATTCCTGGGCATCGATTCCATTAGACGCTTTTAGTGCTTGTTAAATTCCAATTAACAACTTTTTCTGCCAGTTCGACTGATTGGCGATTTGCTGTGGCTGCCTTGTAAGGGCGTGGCAGGTAACCGCCCACCCCGCGCTCACAATCTCTGTCTCTTTCATTTGTTGCCTGTCGCTCGTCGCTCTGCGTTAATTGAACCCGCACACACAGTTGGCCATGTAAGAGTCACATTAGTTGTCTAGTTTGTTTACCTGTCAGTGAGTCGGTCTACCTGTTTGTTTGTTTGTTTGTTTGTCACGCAACTGTTGCACGTAGCACGCTGAAAGACAGAAAGAAAAACCTGCACCTGCCATCGCTTGTGTGAGTCAGTGCGACGCACGCGCGTTTTTCTAGCGGTTCACGCGCGTTTTTTACAGCCACGAATAACAATTAATTTTAATTTTAATTTTAATTTGTTTAGCTTCTAGCCAAATGCGGTAACCGACCAGCTGCGCAGGCAAATCATTTTTATGATTGACCATTCGTGTATGATGAGCTGCCCATCCTCGGCCTGCCTCTCTCTCTCTCTCTCATTCTCTGTCTGTCTACCTTTCCGTCAGCATAATGAAAATTGATTGAAGCAATTTCAATCAACAGAGATTTTTGCGCGCCAAACGTTTTGTTGTTAGTTTTTTTTTTTTTTTTTTTTTTTTTTGTTTGTTTAGATTCGATTTTAGTTGTTGCTTTTGGTTGATGGAAAATGCGGTTTGATGTTTACAGCCTAAAATAGATGCGTGGTATTGCAATTAATTGGAAAATGCTTCGTGCAATAAACATTATATATCGGCGATGAAAACCCTGTAATGATTATAAACGCCCAGCCAGAAAATCTAATCTATTTTGGCTGTAGGCCAACGAGATGATCAAGTTTTATGCGCTCATCAATGAAGTTCAATGTGCAAAATAGCTAAGGAGATGCCACAAAACGGAAAAGAATAAAATAAAACATAAAATTGCCTTAGATTAATTTGAATTTGTGCTGAAAATAGAAAGCAATAAAACATTTATTGTTGTTTTTGTTGTTGTTATGGTTCCCATATAAACATGAACAATATAAATAGTTATCGTTTAGTTGATGTCAGCATTTAGCATTAAACATGAATAAACTTATACATAAATAACTAAGCCTTAGTCAATTGATAGTAGAGCCAGCCAAAGCCAATAAAGTAATAAGCTAACAAAACAATAATGAATGGCTGTACAATTTTTTGACAGAATCTTTATAAATTGAATTATATCCACAATTTGCAATAGAAAATTATTTTTAATTCTGATAGTAGTCGATGGGAATTTAAGCCATATTATTGATTGGCAAAGGCCTGATAGAAACATGAAGTTTATGAAGATGGAGGAGAAATAATGATATTAATTATTATTTTGGCCTTTATCAAGATTTAAGAGACATAGAATAGGAGTAAAAATAATTTATAATAGATGAGTTCCGGAAACATTTAGTTTAATTTGATATATATATTTTTTTTTTTTTTTTTCAAACCTATTTCTAATTCAAATATAATTTCTAATCCATAAATCTAAGCCAAACAAACATCAAATAAATAAAATTATTGAAAACTGAAAGAGAAAATCTCTTTTTAGAGTTGAGAGAGATATATGCAAAATGTTGATAATAGCTAAGAGTTACAAAGCTCAGACTATTCGATCACTATTATGATATATGCATATCCTAAAATACAAAGATGTTCATCTACATACAACAAGTTTTGTTTATAATAAAATTATAATAAAAATAAATCAATAAAGTTTACGCGCAATCAATCGTGTATAATTTCTCTGTAAAAATGTAATACATGCATCTTTATCTTTATATGGCTGACTATAGACAATATCCAGATCATCATAAATCTAAGTCATGTTGTCTATGGGATTCATCTTTTCTATTGAGCATTCTAGTCTTCTCTTACATTTAATTAACAATTTATTAGCAATAAATTCTTGCATTTAATGAATAATTTCAACTGAATTATTCATAAAAAAAAAAGAATAACAATTTGTTTAGCCAGATGCTAGCACTGCCCTAAGCTAATACAATGCTTAATACATATATAAAATCAAGATCGAAACGAGCTTATGCAAGCGCACAGATAACGTCGCAATACTTTAGAATTAATCTAATAAAATATATACCTACTGGGGCTTATCTGTGAATGCTCTCAAGGAGACCAAATGTGCTCGTCAGCAATTAAGAATTGTTCAATTATAAACTGACTAGACTGTGTATATATCCCATTTCCTAGATCTCTGTCTGTGTGTGTGTGTGTGTGTGTGTGTGGTACTATATAATTCAAAAATTGTGCTTACAACTAAGGCAATGCGTCGCCAATTCGCTTGAATTCTGACGTTTGTTTGCATATGGATATATGCATATATATGTATATGTGTATATATGTATATATACATATATGTTAAATAAATCTAGTGTCTGCCATTATTTACTTATTGTATGGTTTGCATTAGCGACCACGTGCGCAACAACAACAACAACTGTAGCCAAAGAGCCAGCTACAACCAACCACCAAGCCCCACCGACCAACCAACTAAACCACCCACCCAGCGACCCATCCATCCAGCCAGCCAGTAAATGCAGTCAACAAACTGCCGTCGCATTTTGGCTAAGACTCGTGTGCATTCGCCCTGCTGCCAAGTTGAATTGTTTAAACTAAACTGATAAATGGCTGGAAAGCCAAACTGATATAGCGTATACGCAGCGTACACAGAAGGAGATAGATAGATAGAGAGGGAGAGAGAGGGTGACAGGGAGACGGGGGTAGCGGGAAGGGAGTTCAGCTCGTAGCGCCGTAATGTCAAATAGACAATAAACGTAGCAAATTGTATTAACTTACGACTTGCGTTGGCTGCTCGTTAGGCTCAACTTGTTACGGCCAACATTTGACAAATTGTTGCAGATACATCATTTCGATCGTGCCACAACGATAAAAGGCCAAAAAGCAACAACAACAACAGCAACAAAGAAACAAAGTCGCGCCGGCGTGAAATCATCGTCGATAAATCGATTACTCGATGAGGCGCGATAGAATTTTGCATTTCAATGCAGGCGGCAAGACAATTAGAGACAAAGATTGATGGCTTTGCAACGTGCCGCAGCAACAGGCCAAAACTCACCGAGATCACAGAAAAGCTGGCTTTGATTGATGCAGATTGTTACAAGGAAAATGGAAAATAGAAAAGGAAACAAAAAAGCCATTTTTTTTGTTGCATGCACGCATGCTGCATGCCGCATGCAACTCGTCTTGCCTAATGCTCGTTTATAACTATGCCACGCCCACTCCAGCTATTGGCCTTAATCAACTTACCCCGGAATGTGAAAAGCGGCCTTCGGCGTTGCAAGTTGTTAGGGAAGCTGAGGAGCAGCTGGGGGCACGTCCTGGCTGCAGGCTTGGCTCCGCTCGACTCGGCTCGTTGACGTTGTCAGCAGTTAATTGAATTAGTTGTTAATTTATGGCAATGTTTTCACTGGGAATTTTGAGAATGTGCCTCGGCCCTCTAACAAAAGGCGGCAGCACTGGATGCTGCTGCTTGGGGCATGCCTCGCCTTCAGCGGCACACACACACGCGCACACACACACGCACACACACAGAGGCACACAACAAAGCTGCGCCGCGTTCTCAACTCCCAGCTCGAGGCTTGATTAAATGCCTGCCACGTAAATTGGCTTTTAAGCGGCACGAACTGCAGCCGCTTGATAACAAATCAGCTCAAGTCTTTTCTTATTTTCATTTGCACACTTTTCACAAGGAAAACGTCACACTAACGTATATACACTATATGAAGTTGATTAGCTATTGCATTGTACATTGTACATTGAAGTCATAAAAAATGATTGAAATTTGTATTTTTGAATTTTTCAAAATATTTTTTAACGTCTTTACTTTTGAATTTGCCTTCGAGTTGCGCGCGCCGCTTGGAAAATTGTATTTTCCGCTTTGAGCGTGTGAATTTCGCGGCTGTTGAACGACAACTGAAATCCGCATTTGCCACACACAGAAAAAAGTGATTCGAAAGGCCACGCAACAATTGCGCCGGCCGGCTGTTGCGGCTGCTCAATTTCCAATTGGGTTGCATGTTTTGCTAACAGTGCCAAATTGAGTTTAACATTGCCAACGTGAGCATAACAGTGAAGAGGCAAGCGCTAGCTTTGAATTTAACATTTAGGTGAAATTGCGTGAAGCTGAGCAGGGAAATGAATAAAGTCAATTTTACTTTATAGTAATTTATTTAATTTAATTTATTCATTCAATTTATGATTAGCAGAGTGCATATATAAACATAAAAATTTATTAAAATAAAAATATATAAAGTCAACAAGCGTCTCTCTGCTTTGTTTTCTTTGAAGTCTGCTGATAAGCTTTTATAATAAAATATTCTTGAATTAATCTTTATATCAATGCTTTTTGATTTATTTGTGGTCTTGACGCAGTTCGTAAAACACAATCAATGTTGATTCTTTCTAATTGTAGTCTAATTAAAATGTGAATCAGAAACCGTATCAATTTTGTTTTATAATTAAAAATGCGAGCTATTAAAAGAATTCATTCTTGATTTAATATATGTTTATACACGTTATTATTACATATATGATTTAATTCAATTGAGTTTCTGCTTGCCTGCTCTCAAGTAATTTTCTTGTTGCTAAACACTGTGACACACAACTTGAGAGATATTTCTATAAAATGTAGTTCTTTATCTCATTAGATAAGACTGTGTCAACATGCAGTCAAGCTTCGATAGATGCGTCAATATACACACGCGTTGTATCTATAATTGATAGTAAAAAGCAGACAGCACTTAGATAGTGTCAAAGCAAAGAAATTACCAAGTCATTTGCCTTAACAAATCAGTTTTCAAGTGTGCGGCTGTAAAAGGCTAAAGAAACATTTGTCAAATATCCACTTAAATTATTTGTAAGCAAAGGATATACTATTGACATAATTGGAGCTCAATAATGAATAATTATAGCTAATAATACTTACAGAGGAAGATATTTCGATATATAGATATTTCGTCTGTAATAATCTATTTAAATTTTCAGTTTTCCATTTCCCGCTGTACAAAAGCTTAATAAGAATTCCCAAAAATAACATTTCAACATTTTCAAATTAATCCAAACTTTATTTAGCAAAGTTCTGCATCATTAAAAGCTTTTTAGGCTACGGTGTAGGTAAAAGCGAAGCCCGCATCGTTCGAGTCGTAGATTTCATCGCTGTTGAAAAGCACGAGCAAAGGACCCGGGTTGTTGCCTGAGAGAAAAGTAGAGAAAGAGAGAGAGAGAGAGATAGAGTGAGAGGCGCATAGAGAGTAAAAGTTTTTGCAAGCTTTCGCTTAACTTACTGTTGATGACCACATCGCCTTGCGTGGCGCCACAGAAGTAGGTGGCGCGCTGGTTACTCTCCACCAACTTAGCCTGTGGCACCATCAAAAAGTCGGCGTTCTCAACGCTCGAGCTGCCGCTGCGATAGCAGGAGCTGTCGGTCATCAGGGAGCTGGCTGCGGTCTCAGCGCCCACATGGAAGAAGTACGAGCGAATGCTAGAAGAGAAATGGAAACATTAGATTTGAATTCAAGGAATTTGTAACGCAAAACCCACTTGAGCGAGGAGGTATCCGTGGTGCGTCTGAAGCAAATGGCATAGTTCATGTGCGAAGGATAAATGCCTTTGCCGTCGTTGTAGTTGAAGGACTTCACAACGCCCTTCGCCTCGGGGAAGTACTGCAAGCAGCCGGGTGGAGCAACTAGGAAGCCATCCGAAAATGAGCTTGAACGCATCTCTGGCTGCTGCTCATCCATTGGGAGGAGCTCACGCACTGAGGCACCGGCAGGACACTCGAGCTGTGTCACCACCATATTCCACTCGGGCGTCGGCAAGGATACGCCGCCAGCCCGATTCGCCAGCGAGATGAGCAGATCGACACGATTCACACCGGCCGTGGCATTGAAGGGCACATAGATGTGCTGCCAGACCTCCACGCCGCACAGACGCAGCCCGTTCACCTCGAAATAGTCCTCCGTGCACACGGCGCTCCTCAGCTGCGACGCCTGCTGCTGCTGCAGCGTGGGCTGAGCCAGCGTCATGGCGAAATCGATGCGCAGCTGGCAAACGTATTTGCTGTACGCATTGATGTGATACTCACAGGTGCGCGGCGGATTCGATGGATTCACCAGCTTAATGTCCTTGGCGGAGGTGGTGCCGCCGCAGTTGGGCGTGGCCACAGACGCCGCCTGCACACATCCTGCCAGCAGCGTAGACAGACAAACAATTGCAATGTAGCTCTTCATTTCCAGTTTTGACTTCTCCAGCGATGCCTCTGCGGCCTTTTATGGCTGCTCGAGCCTCCGAGCGTGCAACTAATTAGCATTGTCGCGGCGCCTCGATAAGAGATCTATCTCACTTTTATCGCACACACTTGGGGGTCTCTGTCGCACGAACGCTGTATATGTTCAATTCTGCAAACATTTTGCAATTAGAATTCATGTAGCTGTACCTAGTATAAAGATATTAACTCTATAAATAAACTCTATATAGTGGGAGAAAAACAAACAGAACAGATATAATGATAATTTGTACACGATTATATTGTTGATTTGGGTAAGAAAAAGATTTTATGGAGAGAGTTTTGAGATGGGCTAGAAATAGAAATATTTACAGCTTAGTTTAAATATGTTTAACAATATTTATTTATTTATTTATAATTATTATATTCTTTACCTAATATTAATTTACTCTCTAAGCCAAATCTCACGTGCGGAAACTAAGAAATTTCGTATGGATCTCGATTAGATTAGTCATCAACAGTAATAACTTTTTGGCAACAATTTCTAATTTGAGCTTAAGAGAAATAAGCAAAAGTGCCAAGAAAACACATCTCAAGAGTTTACACTAGATAATGTATGCTAAGAGAAAGCAAACATTTGCTCAGTTTAGTTAGCTTAGTTAAATGCAATGACAAGCCGAATTGCGCTTGGGTATGTAAGAATTTCATTGATAAATAATAAATAAATTGAGCATATCAAATCTTTGAGTATCAATAAAAAATAATATTCAAATCAATTCCTATAGCTTCAATTAAAGAGCATGTCTATCGACTGCAAGGCACAAAATATTTTTAGAAATTTTACAGATTTTAAAATAAGTATATTCGCTATAATAATTTTCTTGAAGCGTTAATTTTGTATTGTTTATTATTAAAATAAATTATAATAAAGTCAAATTTTAGCATTAAAAAGTATAAATAAAAATAAATAAATAAAAATATTTGTATGAAAAAAACATTTGAATAAAAAAAAAAAAAAAAAAAAAAAAAAAAAATTAAAATAAAATAAAATAAATAAATAAAAATTATCTACATTCAAAATAAATAAATAACAATTTTTATTAAATAAAGGTAAAACATATGTAAACGAAATTCAACAATTTCTTAAAGTGTTTCTCTTTTGCTTAGAACAATATATATATAATTTTCAAATAATAATTAAAACGCCTAATTCTTTTATATTTCATACCTATTTTTATTTTTTTTATTTTCTCCTAATGACTCATAAATTTAATTATAATCTTAAGTTTTTAACTGATTTGAAGCGTTGCACAAATTGTGTTTTTGGTTTTTTTTTTCTCACACTTTGGTTGCATTGATCGCCGGCAATCAATGAAAATGATATTGTGCAATTTCAGGTGATAAGGAATTGATTGATTGATAATTTCTTCTGTCATATTCACACACCAATTTATCGGCCGCATCACTTTTACCACCAACCATTAGCGCAGCATGTGGAATGTGTAGCAACTTTTCACTTTTTGACATCATCGCAGGCATAATTCGAATCGGAGACAGTCTTGCCAGGGTAAACATAACCCAGTTAGAGTTTGTCGAGCAGTCGAGGTTCAATGACTGGCTGGACTTGGTTACATTTGAATATTCATATGCGTAGCCATGTCGTAGCCATTGCCGTAGCCATAGCCGCAGCCGTTGCCGTTGCCGTTGCCGGACTTTAAAGATTTGGGGCCGCTCTTAGATTCTACTTACCAAATATTGACACAAGGTGCTTCTAACACGAATATCACATCAGCGACGACGCCGGCAGCGACGCCAGCGTCGCCAGCGCCGCTACTCGTGTCTTTTGGGCTTCATATAAAAGCGGCTGCGCTGCCTTCAAACATGTTCAGAGTAAATGTGAAAGTGGAGGCGGCAGCAACAACAATAACAACAACAACAACAACTGGAATCGATCATCGAACCGCGTTATTCTCAAAGGATTATTATGCTCGCTTTGCGCTGGTTCTATTTGCTGGGCATTTGCGCTTGCGCCTGCGCCGCGCAGCAAGAGCTGCCAACGGCTGCAGCAACAGGTGCAACCACAGAGAAAATATTCGCGAATCAAACCGAGGAGCCGGTGGTCAGTGTGCCGGGCATGTGGCGACAGGCGCGGCGGCGCAACACGCTGGCGGATAGCTGCACCACCAACGGCGGTGCAACGGGCACCTGCCTCACGCGCTTCAAGTGCATGCGTCAAGGTGGCACAGTCAATGGCTATTGCGGCACCTATGGCGTCTGCTGTGAGAGTAAGTGCAAAAGCTGCCTCGCGCTCTCTATGTGAATAACTCCATTTCTCCCTCTCTCTCGCTCGCTCGCTCTTTCTTTCTCTCTCTGCTTGCCACAGCAAACATGGCGTGTGGCACAACGACACGGCTGAAACGCACCATCATACGCAACCCGGCCACATTCACGACCAACATCTGCCAGTACACGATCGAGGCATACAGCGCCAACGTGCAGCAGCTGCGCATCGACTTCGAGCAGTTCGAGCTGCAACAGCCGACATTTAGCGCCACGGATGACCGTCTGCTGGAGTGCCAGGATTACTTTGAGGCCGGCAGCTTTAAGCTGTGCGGCATGAATGCGGGCCAGCATCTGTATCTGCCATTCAATGTGGCCGCCGGCATCGATCAGATCACGCTGACCTTTTCGGTGCCGTCGCGCTGGCAGCAGAGCAACTGGCGTCTGATTGTCACCCAGCTGGAGGCGCCGCAGGCGAGCAGTAAACGCAAGACCAGCATGCTGGGCGGCCTCGGTGGCAGCGGTAACAGTTTGCAGGATCTGCGCAGCATCTTCGCCTCCCATCACGCCGACTACGAGCTGCTGGCGCCCGCCGGCTGTCAACAGTATTACACGGAGCTGACGGGCACCATACGCAGCTTCAACTATCAGCCGACTATGGGCAGCGTCTACATGCCAGAGACCAGTTACACCATTTGCATCAAGTCCACGCCCAGTGCCAGCATGATTGAGTGAGTGTGCCTCTCTGTCTGCCTGCCTGCCTGCTTGCCTCATCTGTGGCATTCCAGTTGCTTCCATTCAACGACCTCTTCAACACTTTCAGATATAGCTTCAACCGGCTGGCCATGTCGCTGCAGACGGGCGAGGGCGAGGGCTATGATGAGGCGTGCCATGCCACGGTGCATACGCCCGGCAGACAGGAGGATTATCTACTGATACCGCAGTCGTTGCTGGCCAGGAATACGGCTTATCAGCCGACCTACTACTGTGGCATCAACGAGAATTTCATAGTCTACGGTAAGTGTGTGGCATGCTTGGGGCATGCCTGGGCCATGCATTGCTGACCTGCTGTTAATATCGGTTTACATATTTACACAACCCATATGGCACTTGGCTACGCAGCATCGCCGCCCTACATGATCCACTTCTCCAGCGACGAGATGACCCTCGACGCCACCCAGGAGACGGGCTTCAGTCTGACTTATCGCCTACGTACATCAATTCTGTAAAGTGGCTGCCCGGTTAAGTGGGCCCTTAGATTAGGCAACATTTTAGCCATGTGCATAGAATTTAATAAACTAAAGTGAAAACGATTCTCGAACTCAACTCGAACTCAACTCGATTTACTTGCCCCACACACACACACATACACACACACACACATGCACACTGGCTGCATTTGCAGTAAATTGCATTTCAGTTTGCCAACAATATGGGCAATATTTACCGCAAAATGTTATGGCAGAGCTCTAGAGTTAAATAATGCGAGAAAACAACAACAAAGGCAATTTTATGGATATTTCTGGCGAAACTATTATGAACATTCATGGGCTTTGATAAACTGTGAATCTGTGAACTTTGAAACAAACAATTATTCTTTGCACTTAAATATGTATAATCATAATATTTGGTTAAGCATTAAATATCTCCATGGCCATTGACATTTTGATTGTTATCCACTGCATGGATTACAATTCGGCTTTGTCTCTTTGTGCATTGCCAAAGCAGAAATTTGATAATCGACTAAGCTGAATTGGAATGCATTTCCACTCCATATACATAATTTTGTAGTGAGTGGAATTAAACATTTCGGCAATGTTTGTATGGCCTTTCGAGCAAAATTATACAAATATTGTATAAATACTTAAATATATTATATATATATGTAAGTGAAGAGAAGTTTGAGAGCCAGTTTTGGTAGAACGCAAATAAATATTTCATTGTCATTACGCATATTTTATATTTTACTTTTTCTATACATTAAAATTTGCATAAAAATTGTGTGCATTCTTTTATTATTATTATATTATTTATATTTTATTTTATTTTATTCATTTTTTAATATTTAATATTTTATTATTTTATTTAATTTGTTAATGTATGTATTTTATAAATATTAAATCACATTATATATTATATTATATTTTTTTTATATATAGTATGCGGTGTTTGATATATTTATTAAACATTTTATTTTGAAAATTAAAATAAACACTTATTTTAATATATTTCGTGGCTTATTTTCAAATGTTGATTTTTATTTAATTAATTTTCTTTATATATATGAATTTATATATAGTTTTTATTTCTGCTTATATTCGTTTCTTATATTATATTCCATTTTTATATATAAAACATTCTGTTTATTAAATATATTTATACAATACTAAATATAATACGTTAATATTATATACAATATTTATTTTAAATTTTCTTCTTTTGGTTTTTTTCTATTTCTAAAATTATTTATATAAAATCCCCAATGTTAACTAAAACTTCATCATGTTCTCATTTTCCACATTAGGTGAGTAAATAAACAGCTGTTTGAATGGCTAGTGCTATGAGTGTCATTTGCTCCGAACACGTTGCATCAACATGTTGCCAAAAAGTTGCAAAGATAAAAGAAGCAAAAATATGTAGAGAAACGAACAAGGAAAAATAAATATGTTTAGCTGGGCATTAGAAATCAGAAGCTGAAGCTAAAGCTTGAAACTTGTTGTGGTCAGCGACACGATTATCCTTTTAGCTCTGTAATTAGTGTGATTAAAGTTAAGCAGCTTGTTGGCCATGTTGCTGCGGGGGCGAAAGGATGGGGGAGGCCAGGGCATAGCTGTGGTACGCCATGGGACGCCCCACCACACACACACACACAACACAAATATCCAAGCAAATACAGCTCTAAGAGCATGTGAGTGTGTCAGTGTGTGTGTGTGTGTGTGTGTGCACATGAGCCATAAGCCAGAACGATAACAAATAGCCAAGTTCAGAGAGCTGTTTATTCAGTTCCGCACTCACCCATTTTTCCATTGTTGTTGCTGTTGTTGTTGTTATTGTTGTGGGTACATGCGTATATGGATGCATAAAACGCACAATTGGCAGCATTAAGATGTTGCCCCACCCACAACTCTCTGGCCTTTCACTTTGACAAGGTGTTAGATTTTAGCTGGCGCGCTAATTGCCAGCACTGAGCCGAGCAGCTTCTTTCTTTCTCATCATCAGTTTAATCTTTTTCTTCTTTTTTTTTTTGTAAATTCTTTTTTTTTTTTTTTTGAACATTTCGTATCCATTTCTTTTCTTTCACCTGAATTTTTTCACACTTAACGACGGTGGCAGCAGCGGCTAACAGCATCTCAAGCTTTTGTCAATATAATTGTGGAATATGTCAATCGAGCTACTCATCGAGCTATGCGCAGACACGTAAATGTATGTGTGGGAGTGTGAGAGGTGGGGCTTGCGGCTGGCGTTTGTAGAATCATCTTAGCAGCTAATCTAACACTGATGATTGGTGGGCAGTGCTTCAGAGTGCTGCGGTGGCATATACTAGATTTATTATGAATTCACAGCTTCACACCTGCGCCATGTAAACACGGCGAGTGACCAACCCACAGCCAATACATTAGCTTATGTATGTCTATGTATAAGTATATGTATATGCATGCATATTCATGATGGCCGCCAATTTGTTTGCGGCAAATCTTGTGCAATAATTGTTGAATTTAAGCACCGGCTCAGCCACGCAAATGCAGCTCATAAATTAGGTGTCCAAACTAAACTGCAACAAGGTGCAAACAAGGTGCAACAAGGGCATAAAAACCAAGTGAAAAATGTGCTGTGCGTGATATAACGAATTGTGAATACCCTATAATGAATATGCAAATGGAAATAATTTTAAATCGCTACCAATAATTTGAAATCTTTGTAGACTGTAATAATTAGTAAAAAAAAATTTTTTTAAATTACTTAATTAATTGTATTCAATTTTAATTGTAATAATTCATAATAATGTAATTTATTATAATGTAAATCTTTCAAGTTTGCTTCTCTGATATCTAAGCCACAGAGGTTTCCAAGTCATAAGTAATATACTTCTATAAAAAAAATAAATTGCTTACTTATATTTCTTGTACGGTAATTTACTTTAGTTTTTCTTTGTCCCATACTATACTATTTACCCATTTGTCTTCGAAACTCCACATGACAACTGTATTATATATTACTCCACTTCAGTTAGTTTAGGCGCATCTTAAAGCAGCTGCAAAAAAATTTATAAATATCAAATATACATTAAAAAAAAAAAAACTTTAAAATTATTTAGACTTAACTCTCCTTAAACAAATAAAATTATCCTTACTAAGGATTCCTTAGTCTCTAAGCAAGAAATACTCTATATGTCCAATATAAGCTTTATATATTCCTCAGTCTAACATGCAACAGCTCTCATAACAAACCGACTATACCCGCACTCTCAATAGGTCAGGGTATAACGTGAAAGGATTGCGGCGGGCAGGCAGACAGTCAGCGCAGGACATTCGGGCAGCCTGGGCGGTAAGTCGTGTGCGACGCAGCTGCACGGCAAATAACGAAAATGCATTTTAAAACTGGCCAAAAGCAAACGAGCCAAAAAGGCGAAGGACGACAGGCAACAACTTGGCAGTTCCCAGGCCACTCGTCGACTTCTCTTGCATTCTCTGCTTCACTTGTGCCCCCTCTTTCTCTCCCTCTTCCTTTCCCTCGTTCTCGCTGGCCCTGGGTATTTAAGTAATGATTTTGCAAAATATGCGCAAAAGTGCCAACAGCAACACCGCAATATGCTGCCCCTAAATGGACTGTAACCGGAAGTGCGAATAGCGTGCAGCTGGTACACCCAGAGCTGGACAGGACATAGAGTGGACCCTGTTGCAGGCGAGCTGCCGTGCTGCCGAGCTGCTTAATATAGTGTGACCAAATATGCAGGCAGACGTGGCACACTTTAAGCCAGTTTTAAAGCCTTAAGCCTTTTGGCTAATAAACACACACACACACACAGAACTATTGGCCACAGGGTGACTCGAGTCGAATATGGAAACAGAGCACCGAACGGAGTGTGCTTTGTCGAGGGCCAGCTCCGGCGGAAACGGATATTGTAACAAGCATGTAAGGCGACATGCTTGACTGCCCCCAAAGCCTACCCCAGTTGGCAGCCATCCTTTGCGGCCCATCATCGATTGCCTGTTGTTGTCTTATCAACACACGCGCTGAAAATGAAACGAAAATATTGCAAATGTCCGCTTGTCATAGGCGCCCACTCTTAGTTGTGTGTTGTTTGTTGTGTTTGCATGCGAACGCCACGCCACGCCACGCCATGCCACGCCCCACACCGACAGCCTCCGCCTCCTGCTCTTCTAAAAGACAAAAGCAATAAAATCGAAATACAATTGCACTCATATACATTTTTTTGTTGTTTTGTTTTCTGTTTCGTGCTTTGGATAGCCGAGGGGCTAAGGGGCTAAGGGGGCTTGATGTGGCATTCAGCGTGAGAATTTTACGATTGCTGCAAACCGAAAACCGAAAACTGAAAACTGCAAACGGAGGCTCATATTCACGTGCTGCAAGTGTAACTGTATATGCGTGTGCATGTGTGTGTGTGTGAGTGTGTGAGTGTGTGTGTGTGAGTGTGTGGGTAACTGCTGGTTGTGCAGTTCTGTTGATTTTCATGGCATATTTTACAGTGTATGTAAATATGCACACACAAATACGCACATACATACATACAGAAAAAGAGAGGAAGAGAGAGAGCAACGGAGAGCGAGTGCAAGAAATAAAATTGAAATGAAATATGCAAACATGAAAAATATGCGCCAGCCCGAAATATGCTACGAAAAAATTGCCAACACACACACATGCACACTAAAAGGTATATACAGTTGCAGGCGGCCATTGCAAATACACACGCATACGCCCACACACACACACGCACACAAATAAACGCCCACTGGCTGCGATTTATTGCATTATCAATAAAGTGAATAAATTTTGAGGTTATTGTGGCGTGATAACGGCCATTTTTCGTTTTTGTTGTGCCTGTGCCTGTGCCTACTCCTCTGTATGTGTGTGTGTGTGTGTGTGTGTTTGTACTCTCTATGTATGTATGGGTGTGTGCTGTTGTTGTTGCTGTTGCGTGTCGTAATGCTGTGTAAATGGCGCTGTTAATTAAAAAATCGCACCCATGTCCGCTTGGCCATCTTGCTGCAGGCCTCCTGCCAACAACAATTAACTGATTAAGTGTTTAAGCCGCCTGGCTTTAAGCCCAGTTATCCACTTGACTTTGAGCAGGGGCTGGAGCTGGAACTGTTTATGTTATGGTATTAATATAATTAATACGTTTAAGTTATAAGCCAGCTAGATACATGTACACATGTATATGTATATGTGTGTCAGTGTGTGCGTGTGTGGGAGTCAAGTGTTGTGAAGCGTTGCAAGCTCTGATAGTAATAGCAACAGCATAGTAATGTGCTTAAGTGTTGGATACTTATATATTTATAGATAATAGCAACAGAGAATGGATTTTGATACAGACAGATTCTGAAACTGCTTCAGGCAACAAGAAGTTGTTGAATCGCCAACGAGTTTAGTGTTGCAAGACGTGCGAATTGTATAGTAAATATTTATTAAATGAATTCGAATTTTAAACATTATTATAATATATAATATAATAGTTGTACATAGAAAGTTGATTTAATTAAGGCAGATATATGAAGCAAACTTTAGATCCCATTCATTTTATTTGTTATATGTATAGAAAAAAAGAAAATTCATATAGATTTACCATATACCTACATAGAAGAGAAAACGAGTATCATAAATATCTCAGCGAATCTCAAGCAGAAAAATTCCAAACCATAAATTCCACTTAACACTTAGTCACTT